ATTTATGATTTGGAAACCCTACTGTTGTTATTAAGTGCCCCTGAGTCGGTTCTGACCCATAGTGGCCCTGTATAGGCTTTCTGAGGTGAGCTTGATCTGTCGACCTTACAGTTCAAACTGACATTGCAGTCTAGCACATTAACCCACAGCGCCACACCAAGAAACCCTATGTTGTTGTTTTTGTGTGCCACCAAGTCAGTTCTAAGTCATAGTGACCCTGTATAAGGTTTCTGAGGAGCAGCTGGTAAGCTTGAACTGCCGACCTTGCAGTTCAAACTGACCTTGCAGTCCAGTGCATTAACCCACAGCGCCACAAGACAGTTAAATTCTGTCCAATATGGTTCCTATGAGTCAGAATTAAGTAGACGGCAATGAATTTGGATCCCTTGACTGCAAAATGATATATACATATATAGAGTGTTCCCAGATGCCGTATGCAAAACAGACTTTATATTTTCCAATTAAGACTTGTGCTTTTGGTGTTTGATGAACCACTAGCATTCATTGAGTACCTGAAGTCGAGTGTAATTAGATTTGAATCCTGGCTCTGGGACTTATTGGCTGTGAGATTTTGGGTGTGGAATCCCAGGAAGGATTTTTTTTTCTTTTTGGTGAAAAAAGATATACACCAAAGCATACATCCATCCTAAATATTTCACCACTACCCCTAAATTTTTCATCTGTGTAGAGTTACTATCAGTTTGATCGCATATAGATAATTCTTTAAAACACTGCAATGCTCATGGAAAACATTCTTTACTAGTTGAGCCAAATGTTTGTTTGCTTTAAAGAGGACTTCAGCGAATAGTTTTGGTTCAAGGTTTAAATATTTTGAGGGCAGGAGATTGAGGGATTCCTGTCATCTCAATGGGCCCAGGATGACTGGTTCCCATAAGACTTTGGAATTTCTTTCCATAGTCTTACCCCTTTTGATCAAGACCCATCTATTAAATCCTTGATCAAAATGTTCAATAATGGTAATAACCGAGTTCTTCTGGTCTCATGGCAAAGGAGATGGTTATTCATGGAGACAGCTGGACCTGCAATCTAGTTCCTCTTGTGATTCCCAGGAAGTATTCTTTAGTGGATAGAACTGGGTGATAAAGCAGGACTGTAAGTCATTGAAGAACTGAGGTTCAAGGGAGGTATGGACCTGGCTTAAGAGACTTTCTGAAAAGTTGGGTTATGTGAGAGCTGAGTATATCCAGCAGCAAGAATACCTAACTGCTAAGATGCTAAACCCTTAAGGCCTGATGCCCTCCTCCGAGAGAAGAGTTGATGCAATTTTGGGGCAGTGCTAACTTGACTCAAAAGTGGGAGTCACATGATAGCTGTTATGAGGGTTAGAGAGCTAAGCACGTTGTAATATAGTCCACTGTTTGTGGACTATAATCTTGAGACTTGCAGCTGGGTCATCAGGGATAAAGGAAATAATCTCTGTGAATGTGCTTTATAAATGTAAAAGATTGGAATATATCTTAGCTTCTGTTGTTGATCTCTTGATTTTTTTTTTGCCCTACTTCCTCTCTCAAGCGCAAGGCTGTGCTAGTACTTCCTTTAGTTCAGTTTCCAGGTGAGCAAGATTTTAGGTTTCCTTCTTAACCCTATGTTTACCCTCAGACTTCACTCACAGCCACAGCAGTGACAGCTCCCTGTCTCACCAGCCTGGCCAAGGTCCTCCTGGGCTGGGACCACAGTAAGTCTGAGACCAGCCTCTGCTATAATTAGTGACTCTCAGTACCTGGGAAAACTCAGAGCTGGGTGACTCATCACCATCAGCATTCCTCTCCCTTTCCTGTCTTTTGTCTTTAACCCTCAGCTGCTTTCCCCCCTTTTCTGCCCTTCTGTTTAGAGATCTCTGGTCAGCTGATCTCCCTAGCCACCCTATTCTTTATCAATTATTAATCATAAATAAATGATGATAATAATATTGAGCTCTTACTTTGTACCAGAAATATCATTTCATTTTAATATCACAAAGAACCCCTAGGAACAGATATGCCTTTTACAGATAATGGAAACTCAGGCTTGGATTGTTGTTGTTGTTAAGTGTCGCCAAGTCAGTTCTGACTCTTAGAGACCCTGTATAGGGTTTCTGAGGAGTGGCTGGTGAGTTTGAACCACCAGCCTTGTGGTTAGCAGTCCAGTGCATTATCCTGTAGCACCACATGAGGACTAAAAAATCCCAAATCCCAAAGCTTTAAAACCAGTTGTATCAGGATTGGAAGCCAGGTTTGTGTGACCTCTGAGCTTACACATCTAGCCACATTCCACTTCTCTCGGGCCCCAGCATTTTATCAAAAAAGATCTTAATGTTTCTCCAGCCTATCTGGAAACCCAGACATTTGTCCCTTCCATAGTATTTATTGTCAGTCTGCTAAAATGCTTCATGTACTTTTTCCTCTTGCTTCACACAAGACCATTTTCCTTCCTATCATTAGAACTTTTCTTCAGAGAGTTGAAATCTTTCTACTTGTTGGAAATCATCATCTGTCTTTAGAAGTCTTTTGGTGTCTCTCCTATACATTTTT